TATTATCAATATTGTAGAATACAAAATTCTCTACAAATTTTGTTTAAAATTTTTCATACGGTGAACCGTTTTCGAGTAGAGGGCTTAGAGCGCGGTCACAGCATCACTTCAGGTCAACCGCCTGATCAAAACGCGCCATATATATAGTTGATGAACTATCGATAAATCAATGATTATAAATATTTGTCAATTTTATTAACTATTATATTATATTTATCATTTTCGTGCCTTAAATCTATCTATTCAATAATACTGATCACCGTTTCCTAAATTAAAATAATGAAGGGAAAACTTAAATCTTACTATAATTATATTCATTAACACTAATGACATTTAATTAGAAAATAATTAGTGCATCTTTAAAATCTGTAAATTTGTAAATAGGACAAGATATTGATTTACTCATCATTTTAATTGACGTACACTGTCTTACGAAATTTTCTTTAAAAAGTTGGGAAAGGCAATGTAAAACGGAGATATACTGACTAAAAGTTTGATAATTATCTCTATTCCAAACACATATTTTATTTCTGCACGCATTATGGATGTGACACAACTTTGCGCTTTTTAAAGGGAAAACAAAACATTTTAAAAGTTTTTGAAGCACACAACTGAACGAAGTAATACCAAATACCAATAGCAAAAAACCCATAGGAAATGAGATATTTACAAAAAAGCGCAAAAAACCGATTTTTGTGACCGTTGACCTTGAAATTTAATAGTTGCGTACACCCTACCATATGTAGGTTTTGAGACAACTTTTAGGGTGTCAATATACAAGTATTTACAGACTTACAGCTGGGTATCTGAATTCCGAGGTGAACTTACTATAATGACTGGCCTATACGTAAATATACAAAATTGTCGCAATTGGAGTGATGATAATTCATTAGCCATTGTTGAGACGTCGTTACATTCACAAAAAGTTACTGTTTGGTATGCTCTATGAGCAGAGGGTCATTGGTCCATATTTTTTCAAAAATGGAGTTTCCGTGTTTTCGACTATACAGTTCAAGGTTAAAGTTGGATGACGTTTGGTTCCGACAAGAGGTCCGTATATCCCATACAACCAACGAAACAATCAATTCGTGCGATTCAAAATCGTGCGATTTAACACCGCTAGACTATTTTTGTGGGAGTATGTGAAGTCGCTTGTTTACACAGATAAGCACGAGACGATTGACGCCTTGAAAAACATATTTGCCCGTATGGCCCCAATTCCTGCAAAAAGTGCTTAAAAATTGGCCTTCTGAGCTGGAATTTATTTGAACCAGACGTGACGGTCACTAGCCCGAAATCATTATGGCAATGCCCTTACCTTTATAATAAATCTGAATGAATCTTTCCCATAACATTTAATTGTATGCGTTTAATTTCTTCTTGAAAACCACTTGTCTAAAAAAAAAACACTTTAAAAATTTTAATTCACGTATTTTCAAAATCCTTGCATAATCTCAACTTATTGTTCGCATATTAACTATAAGTCACAAATACACTGGTATAAGCTGCATCGATCCCGTTTAATTTCCAAGCCGTCAGCAATGCATATTCTCCCGCTAGAATTGGTAAGGGAGCCACTTCAGAAATCTATACATATATACAATCTTCCGAAAGCTTTACCTCGAATGGGCAGCTGTGATTGATGTTGCTGAATTGTTGAAAATTCGCAAAGAGTAATCTCAGCACCGGATTATGCCGTCTCAATATGAAAGCACAAGCATCTACATTACTAAATGTGTACAATACGCAATTAAGACTCTTCGAGAGCTGTATTACTGAAATGTTTGTCTGCAAATTGTAATTAGCGCAGTTATGATTTCTATTTCCCTTTGAGATTTCAAAACTGTTCCCATACTTACTTGTATACTGTAGATGGGCTGCAGTAGCTTTTGTCGTATTGTTATTGTAGTAATTTTATTCACTCGTTCAATATGGCATTTCTCATATATCGTCATAGGATGTGTACTGTTACGTAACAGCTTGGAGAAACGTATGACTAAATGTACCTGTGGGAAATATAGTGGTATTTATTCATAGAAAATTAGTACTCGTTCACTCACTTTCGCAGGACTCAAGGAAACTAAGGCAACTAGTACAAAGTAACGCATTTTTACTCTAAATCTAGTTTTGCTAAATATTTTACAACTGCGTTTTCAATGAATTTGCACATACACATACTTTATGTTTATTTTTAAATACTAATAGTACAATTAAATTTTTGAAAAAATAAAATAAGTGATTTGAATTGCGTGCTAATTATTTATAAATTTAACAAATAATTACAGTACTTAAGCAACGGGTGATCCAAGTAGAGGTAGCTTTTCCAATAGCCTTTTTTTGACAGATGGCTTGTATGTCGTGTGTTTGATATTTTATTATGCAAAACTTACTTCTGCACAAAGTTTACAAATCCTTCAAGTTTATTACGAAAATTCACGTTCTGTAAAGAATGTGTTTCGCACGCTTCGCTTAACTTATCAGTTAAAATAATCGGCCTACGGAGCGTATTATTCACCATCACCGCATTTATTATTGGATAATATTCGACCGAACGGACCACGTCCAGCACGCAGTAAAGAAAATATAGCGTAGCTGAGAGTGTACACGAAGACCGTGGAGAGTCGATTCGGCACTGGCCGCAGTAACTCGAACGTACAAAATACAGATTGTGCAATAACTGAAACCGCCCGGCCTTAATAAGCGATATCGCTTCGCTCTATGGGCTCTTGAAAAGCTCCAAGAAGATCCGACGTTTTCGAGCCAAATTTTGCTCAGCGATGAGGCCCATTTTTGGCTCAATGGGTATGTAATCAAGCAAAATTGCCGCATTTAGGACGAAGAACAACCTGGAGAAATTCAAGAGTTGCAATTTCATCCAGAAAAAACAACGGTTTGGTGTGGTTTGTAGTCCGAGGGAATCATCGGTCCATATTTCTTCAAACATGATGCCGGTAAGAACGTAACCGTCAATGGCGACCGTTATTGCACCATGATAACCAACTAATTGATACCTGAAATTAAAACACGTGATCTGGGTGACATTTGGTTTCAAGAAAACGGCGCCACTTCTCACACATCGCATCAATCAATGGATATATGAAGAGAATACTTCGGTGGGCAGATAATTTGCCATTACGATTCAGGCCTTGGAACAAAACATCGCGCATGTCATTCGCCAGTTATCAGTCGAATTGCTTGAACGAGTCTTTGCAAATTGGACTCAACGGATGGTCTATCTGAGACGTAGCCGCGGGCAACATTTGAAAGAGATAATCTTCAAAAAATAAATGCCAAATAATGTTCTTTCGAAAGATAATAAATTTGAAGTTTATGTGTTTTTTTTATTAAAGAAGTAGAAAACCTCGAAACGGATCACCCTTTAAAATTATTTTATTATCTGATAGAGGTTTTAAACGAACCCGTGTTATGTGAATTAATGGGCAGCACTATACTTCCCTTCGTGTTCTGCTATGAGCCCAAAACTAGCTTGAAAAAGACTGGAAAGGGTATAAAATGATCTTTTTCTTGATTTTGATTGGTCGGTTTATATGGCAGCTACAAGGATATGCTATAGTATCACAATGGGCCTTCTAAAGGCCTAATTGTGTCGAAAGACAGCCACTCTACCTACCTACCCACTCTAACCTACCTACAGTGGTCCGATCTGAACAATTAGGTCGCAGATTTTAGCGATGTCTGAGACAATAACCTATGCCGAATTTCGTGACGATATCTTATTGAATAAAAAAAATAATTATATACAAGGACTTAAGCTCGATCGATCAGTTTGTATGACAACTATATTCCATAGTTGTCCGATATCAGCGATTCCAACAAACGAGCTGCTTCTTGATGAGAAAAAAATATGTGCAAAATTTCTACTCAGTCCTCAATAGCTGAGAGACTAGTTCGGTTATATACAGACGGACAGACAGACGGATATGGCTAAATCGACTAAGCTTGTTAGCATTAATTTTTTTTTCCATTTTTTCTTTCCATTTGAAGAAAAGTACTGCAGAGTCATGGTATACTTTAAGAGGTCTCCGACGTATCCTTTTCGGTGTTACAAACTTAATATACCCTGTTCAATAGATAGTTTTGTTATTATTTCATATGGGTCCATCAAGGGCATAGATTATAGTGATCCTCCAATTTTAAAATTTTTGCAAAACATTTGATTTATTGCTTCGAAATAGGATCTCAGTCTCGGCAATTGCTTTCCAAAGACTATTCTTTTAAGGTCCAGGCGCAAAAATAAAAGCACTCAGTGCAAATCGGTAAGATAATAATAGATATTGGCCGTATAATATAAATAATAAAAATTATTCGTTTAAAAATTTTGGGATGATTTTGCGATAACCGACGCCCAATGCTAAAAAAAGTGACATTGACTGGGAACACAAATTTCCTGATTTTACTTTATCTGACTTCTTATTATTGGATTTTGCGTATACTAGCGATCCTCTCCTTCCTAATGCAATGAGTAGATGTTGAAAATTGAAGCCTTGGGTCGATTTAAAAAAAATTAAAAAGAGTTTAAACTAACATTCTTACATAACTTGGGAATACCCTATAAATAGTAGTGCTAGAAAGCTGAAGAGCTACCGATTATCGATGGAATAAAGATATAGAAACAAATTTACTTTCCTTAGAAAGGTATATTTAGTTTTAAATGAGTAATATAGGGCAACAGCTCATAGTAAATGATTCCCTGCCAATTCCACCAAACACATAGCAAGACCTTTTTGACCGTCAACCCTGGCTCTCGGCCCTTTTCGTTTGCTTTTCATCACCGAAATTTTTGTTTAGTACGAAAACTAATCTTACCTTAAAATGCGATATGCAGATTACAAAAGTCATCTATTGGAAAAATAATGGATTTCTTTTTACTATACCTGATATTAATTACTAAAAGCCAAAATTACAATTTAAAACAGAGTTATTACAATTTTTAAGCAAAATGCAGATTCTAATTCTGATAAGCCGCTAAAAATGCAAACAATTGAAACATATCACTTAAATTTAATTACTAATATAATAATTATATAAATTTATGAGGAATTAAATTCGCTTAAAGATAAGAAGTCATGGAAAAATTATGCATGACGATAAAGCTTATATGGAATTAACAACAAACAGCAACTGTAGTAAAAACATTTCATATATGTACATATATACATATAAGTATGTATGTGTAAATATGCATCTGAGGTAGCATTTAGCCACCTGCTGGGTGGTATTTGCTTTCGCTGAAAAAGTAGCGCTCATTATGCGGTCACACATTTACGAATGGACAAAAAAACACTTACCAGTTTGAATAAACAAACGCAAAACCAACAGATTTTACTTCATACGAGTATACACATATACCTATATACATATGTAGGCATGTAAATACACTCTTGCATGTAGCGAGCAAATGACCAAGAAATTATGAATGACCTACAGTTAGTTAGTGGGGCGAAAATTAATTAAAACGTAATGAGCGTTACACACGCACCAACAACAATGGCGGAGGTAGCGCCTCAAAGAACTGATGGTTTATATGAAGGGTGGATAATAGCAACATTTGATTTGTGGGAGGACATGGTAGAATTGCTCTATATTTATGTTGCTTTAAATATGTATATATGCTTATGAAAACAAGAGACAACGTTGACTTCTTTTGCACCGAAGCTATAATACCCTTCACAAATAAAAAAGTTGCCATACAAGAACTTGATTTTGATAGTTCAATTTGTATGGCAGCTTTATGCTATAGTGGCCTGATCTGAATAATTTGTTTGTAGATTATAGCGTTGTCTAGGATGATACTTCATGCCGAATTTGGTGAAGCTGTTTTTTCAACTAAAAAGCTTTTCCAAACAAGAACTTAATTATGATCATTAAGTTGTATGGTAGCTATATGTTATAGTGGTCCGACAGCGGCGGTTTCGACAAATGTGCCGCCACTCGAGGAGAAAAGGAGGATAGCAATTTTGCAGATCAATATCTCAAAATCTAAGGGACTAGTTCGCGTATACATATACAGACAGACAGACGAACCTGGCTTAAGCGACTCAGCTCGGATTGTTCATCATTTATATATATATATTATAGGGTATCCGATGTTTCCTTCTGGGTGTTACAAACTTCATGGTACACCTAATATACCCTGTTTAAGGTATAGTAACAAAGTTAGTGCGTCAGTTGGTTCTTTTCTCAGACATACAATTAAATTTAAGAAATATTTGAATTCTTATGTAATTTCTTTAGAAAACAGTTTTTTCACAGAATGCTTGAAAAATATTCCAATTTTAAATTAAGGGCTAATCGGCCATAAATATATGTAAACAGATCTAAATCCTGAGCGGAAATCTAGCTTAGAGCTTTGAATAGCAGAATGTGGATAATACTGGAATAAAACCTCTTATAACACTAAATAACTGATATACACTCTTCAGGTCCAGAGTACAAAACTTTAAATAATCCATACTTTTACCATTGAGAAATTTAGGATTAGAGCTTTGGCCAGGCAAAGAGCGGTACAATAGGCAAACAAAAACTGAAAAAAACGATAGCTCTCGGAAATGAACGCATAATCTGCAAATGATGTTTGCACTTATGCGAAGATTTATTGAAATAGCCCAAATGGAGATATGACCTATAATTACCCACATACATACGTGTCAAGAGGTATATTTTAACTTGAGGCTGGTGGCAACTGCTGAGTTGAGATCTCTTAAAAATAAAATAATATGCACTTTTTTATGGTATTATAATATCCCGCTTAATCATGCGAAATAGTTATATATATAGTATATATTTAGTCATCAACTCGTACTTAACAAATGGTGTGAAAAAGAATGTTACGCATAAAATATTGGTAATATAGCTCTAATTGGTTAATTGGGCTCAACAGTATGCAGCTTAGGAGGCGTTACTTTGCCTGCAATTACCAGAAACTTAATTACAAGGCTAGCGATCTAAAGTGCATTCATAAGGCAATTAGAAAAAGCTGCAAAATTTATTTAAAGATAATATGAAAGAAATACTTGGCATTCAAATTTGGTATAAAAGCAAAAGTCAACAGCGAAATAAGCACAGTTCACCCAGATCTATCACAGCT